GATCCCCTCCATTAGTTTGCTCCATTTAATTTCCCTTCTTGAAAAATTAATTTGTTGCTTTAAAGCAGGAGGAACCAAAGGATCTCAAATTACGATTCTTCCATTTGTACCAACATATACATGCTATTCCCTCCATCAAATTTCTAATCAACATTCCCCATTGGTTATACTCCATAAAACATCAATTTACAAAATCAGAAATAAGAGGATGGCAAGTTGACGTGTACCTGCTTTAGTATAATTATTTTTTAAAATAATAAAATAAATGGTTTAACATATGAAAGAAAAAAGTTATATAGATTTAAACTCTCATTAATAGTTAATAAAACTTGTTACATCTAAAGACATGCATAATAGATTGAATGGCTTAAAGAGTAACTTTTTTAATTTGTAATTTAGTTAGTAAAATGTAAATTTATAAGATAATTCACATAAATTATCAAAATCTTAAACTTAAACTTTCAATTTAATTAATCCAAATTTTCATAAAAATTACTGATACAACTCATTGTGATCATCAATGCAATTTGAAAAAAGTTAACACCTTTCTGCATTTAAATGTTCCAAGAATTTTCCTCAAAAAAAAAAAAATTCCAAGGATTGGATACAAATTTTTTTTTAATAAATTAAAAATTTTCATTCGTAGAATCGCCTATGACATAGGAACGTTCCATCCTGTTAAAGTCGGTACACTGACAGTGTCATCTTCGCAAATAACACCGGAATCAATGGTACTTATCTATCGAAAATTGTCACGACTCAAGACAATTAGGTACACGAGATAAACGGCCCCACCCTCCATCTCATCTTCTCCTTTCATTGTCTCTGTATCTGTTTCCCTGTCTTTTTTTTGGCTTCTCTCACTCTACTCTCTCAGTCAAGAACACCAAAAACCAAGCTTTAGATCTGAGAATAATCCTGAAACCCACAAAAACGGTACGCTCAAAAGACGATCTGGGTGTTCAAGCTTCTTCCTTTTTTTCGTTTCTTGTGCTACATTTTTAGCTTTTCAGTTTCTTCTTCTTCTTCTTCTTCTTCCTTGTTTGTGTTGTTGTCTTCATGGTTGCCTTTGTGTGAAGTTACCTCATTTTCCATGCTATCATGCTTGATCTTGTACTAAAGAATGTTTGGTTTGTGGGTTGGAGATAAGCTTGTTTAGAAAGGGGAGATTTGGGTTGTTTAGAAGTTGTTCTTGTTGTAGATCATGCGAGTGTGGGTGCATTTATGGGGAGCTGAGGGTTTTGAGTTTCTTGGGTAGTTAGTGCTTGAATGGGAAGTAAATTTGAGAAACGTGTTTCTTGTTGTTTGATGCAAACTTTTTGTTATTTCTTGTGATTTAGTGTTGTAGATGGTGATATAATTGAATTGCCTGAGGGGGTTTTGGTGTTTTGAAGGACTCTTTACTTGTTGCGAAAATGTGGGAGTAATAGAGATCGACTTTTCTATGTTTCAAAGAAAATAATTTAGCTTGATCTTGATGCCGACTATTCCCATTATGAAGTTATGGATTTTGCAATTGGCTGATAATGGGCTTAGTAATTGCATTTTCATGAGGTTTTGTTTAGCCTTTATGGATGTGAATCATGTGATCAACAAGTTAAAAGTAGGATTCCAAGTCAGGGGTTTGAGTAGAAGGTCCTGTTGGTGGCTCGGAAATTTGGGGTAAGTAGAAGAGATGAAGATTGTGATGAATCTGTATCTGTTACTTTTGTTTCCAGAAGTTGGATTGCCTAGTTTGTGTAGGGGGGTGAGTGTGTGTGCACCATCTAACCTTCTGAGAATTAAGTTGTTCATTACCCTAATAATTGATTATCTTGAAATTAATTTGGCTGATTGATTGATTCTCATTTCTCTTCATTGTCATATTCCTTAATGACCACAGTTTTATGGCTTCTATGCGAAATTGGTTTGCCATTTTCTATGGCTGACACTGTCAAGTGCATATGTTATTTGTTTCTTCGTGTTGTTTCTAGCTGGTTGATAATGTACATGGATGTCTAGACTCTTGTGCGTACTAAATACCCTTCCTCATGCAGGCTAGGTTGAAGACTTAGCACAAATGGCAGTAGCTGATGCACATGACCCTCTTCTCGGAGAAACCACTTGTGGTTCTTTGCTGCAGAAGCTTCAGGTAAATGGCTTGAAACCATTTTTTACCCCTGGTTCTTTGTGTTAGTTATTCAGCATGGATGTAGTGGTGGTATGATCAGTAATATGTTTCACATTTTTTCCAGGAAATTTGGGATGAAGTTGGTGAAAGTGATGAGGAGCGAGACAAGATGCTTCTACAAATAGAACAGGAGTGCTTGGATGTATACAAGAGGAAGGTTGAGCAGGCTGCAAAGTCCAGGGCACAACTTCTTCAGTCATTGTCAGATGCCAAGCTCGAACTTTCCACTCTTGTATCAGCTCTTGGAGACTTGAGTTTTGTTGGCATTGTGAGTAATTCCTTCATTTTAATTCCTTCATTTCATCTTAGATAAAGGGTGGCTATAATTTTCTATTGCATTATTATTATTATTATTATTATCATCATCATCATCGTGGATATAATTGGCTGGATTCCTTTTGTGTTCCTTTGGGTTTCATTATAGCCAGAGAAGACTTCAGGAACAATCAAGGAACAGCTTGCAGCTATAGCACCAGTACTTGAACAGTTGTTGAAACAGAAAGAGGAGAGAGTGAAGGAGTTTTCTGATGTGCAGTCACAGATTCAGAAGATATGTGAGGAAATTACTGGTACCCTAAGTGACCAAGCAGGGGCTCCTGCAGTTGATGAGTCTGACTTGTCGCTGAAGAAGTTAGATCAATATCAAGCCAAATTCCAAGAACTTAAGAAAGAAAAGGTAAAATTCATTGTTTTGAACAAAGTTGATGCTAATGTGATAAATCTCCAAGTGTCTGGTCCTTCACATGCATCAAAACTAATTTCTTGCTGAACTCTCAGAGTGATCGACTGCACAAAGTCCTTGAATTTGTGAGCACCGTACATGATCTCTGTGCTGTCCTTGGGATGGATTTCTTAAGTACCATAACTGAAGTTCATCCAAGCTTGAATGATTCCACAGGTGTTCGGTCAAAAAGCATTAGCAACGATACACTATCTAGGCTGGCCAAGACAGTCTTGGCTCTAAAAGAGGATAAAAAGCAGAGGCTTCATAAGGTATTTCTTAGTGTTCTTACACCTTAAGGCATGTAGAATCATTTATATTTCTAGTTTCTTATCATTATTTGACATCTTCAGCCCCTTTTTTAAACTCTTGGAATATTCATCTTTTCTTATCTGCTCCAACCATGAAAATGAAGTGCTTGACGTGTTCTCTTTCTCCCGTAGCTTCAAGAGTTAGCAACTCAACTAATTGATCTGTGGAATCTGATGGATACCCCTGAAGAAGAAAGAAGATTATTTGACCATGTTACCTGTAACATGTCTGCATCTGTTGATGAAGTGACCGTTCGCGGTGCTCTTGCTTTGGATCTGATTGAACAGGTATTTAAATTACATAATATCCATTAGACTGAAATTTCATTAACTATATCAACTGCTTACTTGTTTTCCTTGCCATTTTCAAGGCGGAGGTGGAAGTTGACAGGCTTGACCAGCTAAAGTCTAGCAGAATGAAAGAAATTGCTTTCAAAAAGCAAGCTGAGCTTGAGGAAATATTTTCCTGTGCTCATATAGAGATAGATTCAGAGGCTGCTAGAGAAAAGATTATGACACAGATTGATGCTGGGAATATTGAGCCTGCTGAGTTACTTGCAGACATGGATTGTCAGATAGCAAAAGCAAAAGAAGAAGGACTCAGTAGAAAAGAAATTCTGGACAGGGTTGAGAAATGGATGTCAGCCTGTGAAGAAGAAAGCTGGCTTGAAGACTATAATCGGGTACTTATTATTCTTCCTTCAGTCTGTCTATATATATCTCTCACTGCTTCTCCTTATGTGTGTTTTTATCCTTTGAAATGGTGAGATGAGTTATAGGTTTGATAATTTGCCATAGGGCTGTTGCCCTGTCTTCCAACTTGGCAGTTGAGAGTGCAAGGAACCTTGACCTGCTAAGCAGCTGCTTGACCTCTATCTTGCAGAGTTCTGAATCTTGGTGCTATTTGTGAATTCTAAACACTTTCATGCCTATTGGCCTCAAAGATGTTGTTGAATCATTCCATTTAAATTTTCTTGAGTCAGCAGCCAAAAGAAAGCCTTTTTATCTTGGTTTATTTTTTTCCTTGACTGATCCTTATATTCCCTTGTTCCTTGACAAACATTTCTCCGATTGTAGTCATTGTGGGCTTATTACCATTTATTAAGATTCATGCCTTATGCCTTTTGACCATAGGAAATTAGCAAGTAATAAACAAGACAGACTACATTTCGGTGACCTGATTTTATTTGTTTCATATCTGGCATTGGGTGTTTCAATCTCAGACATTGCCTTGTTGTAACAGGATGAGAACAGGTATAATGCAAGTCGAGGTGCCCACTTAAATCTCAAGCGTGCTGAGAAAGCCCGAATTCTGGTCAACAAAATTCCAGGTATTCATAGACACAGCACACCACCCCTCTTCTTGTGTATATTCACAATTATTACTATGAATTGGTGGGTGAAAAATCTGCGTGTCTATGCATCTCTATATGTTTGTCATTGTTCAGTAGAAGATTGCTTATTTTGATTGGTTTTCATGCCCTTTTATCTGTAGCTATGGTTGACACCTTGGTTTCCAAAACTCGGGCTTGGGAAGAAGATCGTGGGATACCATTCACTTATGATGGTGTTCCACTCCTGGCCATGCTTGATGAATATGCCATGCTCAGGCAAGAAAGAGAAGAAGAGAAGAGGAGATTGAGGGTAAGATTTAGTGATTTCTCAGTACCGACTTAGTTCAGGAAGGGATTGCTACAAGCTGTACATGGCCCTAGACTAATATGAGCTTTTGGTACTCTATGCTTTCATTTTTGGGTAAGTACATCAACTCATTTCTTTTCTTTCCAACTTGCAGGATCAGAAGAAGTTCCATGAGCAGCAAAACACAGAACAAGAGAGCGTTTTTGGTCCAAGGCCTAGCCCTGCTCGACCAGCCAGTAGTACCAAGAAGGTGGTAGGGCCTAGAGCAAATGGAGGTGCCAATGGAGCCCCAAACAGACGGCTGTCACTTAATGCTCATCAAAACGGCTCCAGGTCCACAACTAAAGAGGGGAAGAGGGATAGCATTGGTGCAAGGCCAGCTGCACCTGTTAACTATGTTGCCATGTCAAAAGAGGATGCTGCATCCCATGTTTCTGGTACAGATCCAGTTTTGGCATCACCATGATGACAATTAGTGGTTAGATGTTTCTTGTAGGCATATAGCTTGTTATATGAGAGTAACGGGTGGAGTGAACAGTTATTAGAAGTATGTGATATTGGCATTGAGAAGCTGGTTTTGATCCCTTCTGCTTTATTTACTGCAACTGAATTTTCTTGTGGCATTTGAATAAAACACAAGAAACCAAAAACCAGAAGCCTTCTTACTCAAATCACAAGCAAATCTTAAAAATCTCAATAAAACAAGAATATGGTATGACAATGAAAAGAGAAAAGAAGATGGTAATTCTACTAGTGAAACAATATATATACGTATATATATACATGTATATGTATATATATATATATATGTATGGTTTTTAAATCTCATACGGATTACACAACCAGGAGATAATCTTATCTAATGCACTTACATGGCAGTGTAACGTAAATGCCATTCGAGCCTTAAAAGGGGAGAGTGGTGCGGGAGGTTAGGTCATTAGTGAAAAGAAATGGAGCCATCAATGAAACCAAGCTTAATAAGGTGAAGAAGAAATTCTTTATCTTTTATGGAGTGATTGCAGTTTATTACAATAATAATAATAATAATAATAATAATAATAATTTGTTATAGATTATTGGATTTTCAAACTTTAAGGATTATTGTATAATTTTTCATCTAATGTGTAAATTTTAATCAAATCTCATTATATATCTTAGAAACAAGAACAATGTTTTAAGGATTTCAATTTTTAACATTAAAAAAAAATTAAGAATTTACTCTCTCTAGTCTAAAATTATAAAAATTTTAATGTAAAAAAACATAATAATTGAATTATAATAATTTTTTTTTTCAATTCACCTATTCAAGGCTTGAAAAAATAAAAAGTAATGATGGGTGGGACGAAATGAGGGAGGAAGGGGGGGGGGGAATTTGGGGGACAACAAGGGATGAGAGATTCATGAATGTGATGTAATTACTAATATGATCTCTCCCATCACTTATCGTCTTCAAATTCGTTTTTCGATTTCGTTACCCTATCATTACTTAAAAATAAAAATATCTTTAAAAAATAAAGTATGCTTAAAGATTTATTAAAAATATTTCTACCTTTTTTCAACTTAAATTGATATTTTTAAGGGCCGTAGGTTCTGGAAAATTTATTCCCTTCTAATTAATGGAGATTTGACCATTAAATATATATATATATATATATATATATTCGAATCTGAGTGGAAGTGATTAATCTCATCGCGCTCAAAACGACAGCGTATCTACCTTCCTCAACATGACTGATGAAGCCCCCCAAGACGCCATCTTCCAACTTGCAACACGCATCTCTTTTCCTCTCTGTAAGCAAACGCAACGACCATGGCTGCCGAGGAGCCGGCGAAGCTGCTGCTTCCGTACCTGCAACGAGCCGATGAGCTCCAGAAACATGACCATCTAGTCGCTTACTACTGTATGTAACCAAAGTTCCATTCTTTTCTCCTTTTGTTTTTCCTAATTTTTTTCTTGACACAAGTCCTTATTTTACCCCTTTTGAGTGATTTTGATTATGGTTGGTGTCTCGAAGGTCGATTGTATGCGATGGAGCGTGGTTTGAAGATACCCAACAGCGAAAGAACCAAAACCACCAATGCCCTTCTTGCCTCTCTCATGAATCAGCTTGAAAAGGTACTTCTTTGATGATATATTGGTTTGATTTGTTCATGTGATCATGATTAACGCAGTTTTGCATTGGATTTTTGAGTTCTGGAAGTCTAGCTTTGTTTGTAGACTGTTTAGTCCACTGGCTGTCTATTGGTTTCTGGGAATTGCTAATATGGCTCTGAATGGTTGCACTAGTACTGAGGCACCAGGTTACAATTAAATTACCCGGTTGCTTAATCTTAGGGTGCAAAAACAAGTGTTGGGATCCGCTTTGCAGCTTAAATTATACCATGTTTCTGCTGCCTGTAATGCCCTCACATTATATTTTGGGGGTTTTTTCTCTATTTATAAATCTAAACATTAATGGCTTTCAGAAGAGAAATTATTTTCATAAGTGATGAATAATTGTATTTCTCCTCGAGGCTTATGGATTTTTATCTAACCATGTTATTCACAATTCTATGATGCTCTTTTTAAATTTTAGCTAGGTATATGCCCTTTGTTTTATGTGTTGTAGTGAATAAAAGTAACAGTAACATGACACTTTAATTTTTGAGCATGTAAACTCATGTTTATCCACCATTAATATTGTGCTATATTCATATTCATATACTTTCCAAGGCCACTATATTCTCTTCTAAATACTCCTAATGACGTTGACCTTTTACAGGATAAGAAGTCGCTTAAATTAGGACCTGAAGATAATCTGCACCTGGAGGGATTTGCCTTGAATGTCTTTGCAAAGGCAGACAAGCAAGATCGTGCTGGGAAAGCAGACTTGTAAGCAGATCTTCTTTTTCTGTCTGGGGGTTTTATTAGTTAATTGTCATGCTCATGCCTTGAAGCTTAATTTTTTCTCAGAGGGAGGCAGTGGCAACCATGGAGCTCCCACCCAATACTATGGGCTCTTTTTCTGATTTTCATGCTTCAATGATATAGATATATGTTACTAACCAATATCCTCTGAACTAATTTAGCTATATGTTCTGTGACTTGTGGACTATCATCTGGTAAGTGATAGTTGCAGTTTCGGATGCCTGAATCTGCGGTGTTCAAGATGGTGTCCATGGATTGCATAATTTGCATTGCATGATATCAGAAACCTGTTGGTTAACTGTTTTCCTAGGGATCTTCAACATTGACTTTTTTTGCCTATGTTCAATCATATCTTCTTGTTACTGTTTCTTAGGTCTGTGATTATTCATGATGGTTTAGAGTGATAAATTGATCATCAGTCAAAGATTTATGATGACCATTTCTTCTAGAACAGCAGTCCTTGGGGTGATCATGTTGTGCAGGATTTTGTCATTTTCAATGTTATACCATTTGCTTTTTTATTAGTAATTGGATGTTCCCTAAATATCTTGGAACTGAACTTCTTGTTCTTGGTACAGGAATACAGCAAAAACATTTTATGCTGCAAGTATTTTCTTTGAGATTCTAAACCAGTTTGGTCCCATTCAGCCTGATGTGAGTTTCTAGCTGTTGTATTTTATTACTCCTTTTGAAGTCTCATTCAACTTGCAATCCTTTCTTGTTTTTGAGCATCTATTGATGTCTGTGCATTGCTTGTATTTAACATCTGAAGGCTTTAGTAGGTAGTAGTTTTTACTTTATATGGTCTTATGTACAGCTTGAGCAGAAACAGAAGTATGCTGCCTGGAAAGCTGCTGATATAAGCAAAGCTATAAAGGAAGGAAGGAAACCCATTCCAGGCCCTCCTGCTGGTGATGATGATTTATCAGTTCTAACAAGTCCGCCTAGTGCTTCATATGTATGTTTCTAAGCTCAACTGTAGTATAGCAACATTTGGAGAATTGTAAAACTGAGACTTGCTGTTTTTCAGTGAATTCTCTTGTGCCATTGATTGGTCGTTTCTGTAGAATTTATTCATGGATGTTCATCTATGTTTATCCTCACAGGATCTTGGACCAAGTGAACCTGCTGTTACAAGTGCTGGGCCAGAATCTGATCAAATCCCTCAGTTCCAAGACGGTGTTCATAGCCAGTATCATGCTAACACTCCAGCTGCACATCAGTTCCATGATAAGGTTGACAGACAGCATTCTATGAACATCCCCCCATCAACTCATTCTTATCCATCTGCCAGTTACCCCTCACATGATTCTTATCCACCTCCTGCAGCAAATCAATCAGAAATTTCTGCATATCCTCAGCCGTACCATCATCAACCTTACCCACAAGAACCTCAACAGCACTTGCCTCATAACTACCCATCCCACGAACCTCCCTCTTACTCTTACCCCAATTTCCAGTCCTATCCAAGTTTCACTGAGAGTAGTCTGCCAGCTGTGCCATCTCATTATCCTTCTTATTATCAAGGCTCTGAAACTTCCTACTCTTCTCCTGCCCAGTCAGCTCCTCCTACAGCAAGCTACCCCTCAAATTCCCAATACTCTACAAGTGGCAGAAATGGGTCAGTCTCAGATCCTGCAGGACCTGCACCTACTCCAGTTCAGAAATACCAATATGACAGCAGTCACCAGCCAGCACCTGAAAAGATTGCTGAGGCACACAAGGCTGCTAGGTTTGCGGTTGGAGCATTGGCCTTTGATGATGTATCAGTTGCTGTTGACCACTTAAAAAAATCGCTTGAATTGCTGACCAATCCATCAGCTGGTCAGTAAGTTTCTTTTTGCTTGAGCTGGGGCCTGTTTGGATGACCTTTCTTCAAACTCATGGTTTGATTTGTAAATTTTAGCGGATATTTGCACAGAAAAGATTATGTCTTGCTATCTTCAACACATTGTGAATGAGAAATTGATATTTTTTTCATAGATTCTGAGGCTTGGAATCTCTTTTGCTTTAGTTTTAATGGGGATTATTCAAGTTTGGTCTTTTCGTTTGTTTTTTCTTCTTGTTTTTTTGTGATGAAACATGTATAATGCCTATAATTCAAAGCCTTGTTCTAATAAAACAAAACACTACTTGTCCTTGACGCAGGTGGGTTTTGTCACATTAGCTTCTAGTAATTTTTGTTGAACAGATTTAAGATCAAAGCTATGATCTTTCCTGGCCTTCACCACGAATATACAGAGCAATTTTGTCTACAGCTGTATCCTCTCCAGCGCAATGGATTTATTCGAAAATAGTGCAGAAATCGTCAAAGTTTTTTTTTTTTTTGAGCAGAGTTACATTTGTGGAGGGATGGGGGAATGGGAAGCACTCGAACTCAAATCCGGTGAGAAGCTCCGTGTGGAGGGCAGCCAGTTTTTCAACCCGGAGCTTCTCGTTAAAGTATCCTATTTAACTTCAATGTTCACAGAAAGAACCATATCCAAAACCTTGAAAGCCAATGGGAGTAGGCCTCTGTTGTTTTGGGCAATTAAGCCCTCAAAGACTGCCTAAGGAGGACAGAGATGATGATCAGAGTCATTGTTTGTTCATGAAGCTAGGATGCTTTTGGCTAGAGAAGGAAGGTAAAGAGAGGCAGATGCATCAGAATGATCAGAAGCAGAAAGATCGGCTAAAGTTGGAAGAGCGTCATTGGGGGATTGGCTCCTGGCTGAGCAACCTACCAGTTTGCATAATAACTGCATCAATGGAGGTGAATACTATGTGTTCAAACATGTCTCCTACAGGGTTTATCCATATTTTGCTGTAGACACTGTTGATTGCGCCAGCAAAGTGGTCAGAGACAACTTCTCCATGGACAGAAACAGAACGTTGAAGGATGATGAAGCTGAGAGCAGAAGGGATGATGATGCTTCCTTTCTTCATGTATGAGCCAAAGTGGAAAGTCAAAGAAGAAGGTGAACTTTAGATT